GAGCTGCAGCAGAGTCATGGTCATGGACAGCGGCCAGGTGAATATAAATGCAGTATGTCTGACTGTGAAACTCGGTCCAGTGGTTGAAACTCAATCGTTGATGTGATATTCCCTAAATTACTGTGTGTTTGATATGACGGATGGGATGAGACAGTTCATGTTTCACTTGAGCAGTTTTCAAGACTCTTGATGGTAGCTGATAACATGAAAAGCACACAAGTAGTCACCAGTTTATGTGTTTCAGCCCTTAATCAGTTGAGTTTGCATTTTTGGCATCAGTAAGTAGAGTAAAATAAGATGGATGCATCAGAAGAGACAAGATTTATAGCTTGAATTTACACCCAGTTTTTTGGCTGTGCAGTGGAGTGAAAAAATCACAGATATTCATAAGCGTGTTGTTTTATTACTATTAGATGTACCTAAATGGTTCATTACTTCATGCATTTTGCATTAAAAAGACAATTACATTGCCATTTTGTAATCTTTGGCTTTGCCTGTATTATAAAAGATCCCAAAATATTTTGTTGTTCGAGCCTCGTTGATAATGTCAACATGGCTCAAACAGTGTTGGCCACTGTGTGCCGGGAGTGATCGCTACTCCTTATAGGAACTTATGATTCAGCAAAGTGCAGCAAAGGCTGTCTGAGGACAATATTTCCCACATATTGAAATGCTTTTCATACACGGCCGCTGGGAAATATCTTCGGTTGGAGTAAGTTTGGAGATAATGTGCCCAGACTTTATATGCAAGTGCTGATTTTGTTTTATCCTTTTCATTCTCGTAGATTTTGGAGTTTGACAGTCCCGTTGCCTTGCTGGCAGATGAAAACTCAAGATTTAGAGCCATGATAGAAGCATCAGAAAACCAAAACAGATAAAACACGCTGGAGCTGAACTTTGGACGTGAGCTGTGATCCTACAAAATATCAAGCTGAATAAATGATTTGCACACACACACAAATCCTGCCAAGTGTGAAAATGATGAGTAAAGAAATCCACTGATGGGTTGTCCATGCAACCGTGTCCGTTTATTTCCTCACCAAAGACACAGAGACAGCACTTCCTAACAGCACATCAAATCTTAGTATGCTAAGTGAGATCTATCAGCCACCTGCTCTTTGCCGCCGTGTCACAGGAGTTGTTTCCTGGGCACCAAACAATTAGCTGCAAGTGAAACAGAGCTGCGTCTCTGACAATAGCACTTTATGTGTCATGTGGACACTTGGAAGGACGTAGGATGGTTCTCTTTTTCAGTTAATCAGTCAGACACTAAATTAGTTTTATTTCCATGACTGAGACCTGACAGTCCAGGAAATTAATGTTCGGCAGAAAATGGTGTGGATCAGATTTAATTTCTTATTTGCATTGCTACTGATGTTTGTTTGTTTATGTCAGGAATTTATTTGTTTGAATTAATTATTAAATACAGTATATATGAAAAACATCACCTTCTATTCATTCCTCAAAATGGCTTTCCAAAAGAGGCTAAAATGTTTGTGTTTTTTTGTTGTTGCTGTAATGAGATAATTTCAGTAAATTATTGCAGATGTGATATGTGCCTAGACCTGTAAACAATTCCAGGTTATATAATGGAGTTAGCCATGTAAGCATGCTCTTTTTAGACTGCATGCAAGCACTGTGTTTTCAAATTAGCTCATCTTTTCAAATGCTGGAGTTGAATGTTTTACCAGCAAGATCATTTAGGTGTTGAAGTATGGTGTGTGGTTTGCAACAAAACTGAAAACCATCAGGGTGTGTCTGTACATGTTCTGTTTTCACACATGAGAGGACTGCAAACGTCTGCCTTCGAGTATGTGCTGAACAATCATGAAAAGTGCAATATCCCTTATTTTCAAGATTGCCTTTGTACACTTGAGATTGTGAAGCTGTAATATAAATTTGTTAAATGTGGGATTTTTGATATATAGAGGTTTTTTTGAATAAACCTATTTTTAATTTATTGGTGACGTGTCTAGTCTATTCTTATAAGATGTGCTTGTTTGATTTGTCTCTGGATTCCTCAAAGTTATGAATGCATACGCAGGAAAGTGTTACCAGAGGAATTTTTGGAAGGAATCTTTTGCATTCCTTGAGAAAACAAACTAGGGCAATTCATGTTTTATCTTCACATTGAAATAATTTCGATACATGCTTTTGATTTACTAGACTCGATTCATACATGCTGTGGAGGTCTTTATCAGCCTAAAAGCCTTGAGCCTTCTTCATGCTACTCTTGTTTTAATGGAAAGGAAATTGCAGTATTTTAAAAGTAAGAGCAGTCAGTATAGTATAGAGGGAAAAAGAAAGTTTTGTAAAGTGTTTTGTTGCTCCTTAGCAGCAAAACATCTGATGATTTTTCCTTGGGTGACTTGCCTAGAGTTAGCTACAAGTTTCAAAATGAGAATCAGTTAAAAGAAGTGAGCTTACCGGCCTTTATCACCCTCACTTTATTCCCGCTTGAGGCTATTAGCCTGAGGAAATAGTAGCCAATGCTACCAGTAAACATGATTTGCATTGTGGGTACTGCAGACACAGTGTGTGTTTTTTTTGTTTTGTTTTTTGACAGGGGAAAAGAATGCATGGAATACAAAACACATCTGGTTCTACTGAATTTTAAAGCATTTCCAATGTGAGTGTAACAGTGCCGCAGACGAGTCACGCTGTATCAGTCAACTCCTATTTTTCAGTCTATTTTATAAAAGTCACAGAGACATTTATACATGAATATTCCATTAGCTCGTTAGGGAATTGTGAAACCTTTTGTTTCAGAATAACCCCGCATGAACATGACATCTAAGGCCTCCTCCAGTACTGTATGCAGGCGTTCAACAAACGCAAAGGTTAAATTGGGGTTTATGAGAACATTTCAAAAGTGTAAAGTCCTAATCTGCAGATTTCAGCAATAATCTGCCCACATGCACTTCAGCAAAACTAAGAAATCCACTTTTTTTTAACCCTTGAGATCAACTCCAAGTGAAGAAACATGAAAGTAACAAATAGAACATATGACTTTCCCATCTGGTCACCTCTTCCTGCAGTATGAAAATCCACCAAACTGGCATAAACAGCTGTTGGTAAATAACATAAATTCCTTACAAGGTAGGGAAATATCTGAAGATCGTGAAGTCACACAGGAGTAAAGGGAATACCTTTAATTTATGAAACTTGAACTATTCCACATAATGCAAAAGTTACACTGCATTTCATTTGGAGTAACCTTTGTGTGTGTTTTCTCGGACCCCCAAATGATTGCATATCAGACTCAGAATGTTAATATTTTTTGCCCAGGATTTACCTCCTCATCACACACCTTACCTGCTGCCTTCATCCTTTAATGTATACTTGAAGAGTGTCCACAGTGTTTTTGTGTTGTAACTTTTTATTTTATTTTTTTGGAGGAAAATATTTGAAATGTTTGACTAACTGTGAAGTTTTTTCTTCTTAAAAGCTCAGACTCTGACTTCCTCAGTCCGAACTGGAGGGACAGATTTTCATATTACACTGAGATAACTGCTAATGTGCTGAAACTGGAGTTAAATATGGAAAATTTTCTGGAAGATTATTTCTGAAGACATCTTAAAGAAATTACAAGAAAGCTTGCCTGAGTTCGGACTGTGTTTAAGAATAAAAGTGCTCATACCAAATATTGACTTTCGAGTTAGTTAGAGATGTACAAACTTATTTTGCCGTATTACACCATGTATAAAAACCATGTATATTTATTTTGTATATCTGTGTGCATGCGTGTGTTGACTAGGCTTTAAAGGTTAAATGGGAGACCACAAATTATGCAGGATGTAGATTTTTTTAGTCAGACATTAAAGCTAAATACCCCCTAATTAAATCTAATATTATATAATAGCCTAATAACCAAATACACGTGAGTGTTTTTAATAGCACACTTTTAATCAGAAAGGAAAAACATTATTTGTTCTCTATTTACTTACTAGAGCAGGGGTCAGCAACCTTTAACACCCAAAGAGCCATTTGGACGCAATTTCCATGCAAAAGAAAACACTGGGCGCCGCAAATACTTTTTGACATCTAAAATGAAGATAACACTGTATATATTGTTTTTTTTACCTTTATGCTTTGTGTGAAGAACTAAGGTGTGTTGCTTAAATCCATGAAGTACAGAGAAAATTACATTTTATTTATGTAATGAACACACTTTGAACTCTTAAAGAAATATAACAAAAGCAAAATGATCCAGCAAACAAAAACTGTTGTGAGCCGCCACCCTTATATCGCCTTTGGACTTTTGGAGCCTTGACCTGACTGTTAAAAAAATAATTGGAAAATGAAAAGTAGATGTTTGCAAAATTCTGCCTAAATATGTATTTTACCCGGTTAATGTGTGCAGCGCCGCTGCAGGGGAGGCGGACGCACCTGAGCGGCGCCCGCAATCACGCCTTAACGTCTGTGCTCTCTATGCTGTTGTGTTGGTGTGTGTCGGGCAGTGAGCTGAAAAGCTGCAGCCGGCTGTATGCGTACAGCACCCGTGTGTGAAAAGTGGTCAGTAAAGAGATGCTGAAAAGCCTGTTCATGGAAACATCGTCGGGTCTGCCGTGGTATGTTTACAACGGGACTTCTGCTCCTGAACCTCTGCGCACAGCGTCTGCAAATCGGGGCTGTACGAAGTCACTTTCAACTTTACGCAGGACTGCAAGCTGTCGTCTGTGAGGCGTGAGCGCTGTTTGAGCGGCTTATTTTGAGCGATCAAAAAATAATAGAATATCATTTTAGATTTATATTTCAATATCACAATAATCTTCCAATTTAGAACTACAAGTTAAAAAAGAACTAACATAAGTAAAATACACAAAAGCTAATTACTTAAAAAAACTAATTTATTTTCCCAAACCACGCGGAGCCGCACTAAAAGGACTAAAGAGCCGCCGGTTGCCGACCCCTGTACTAGAGTAACTTCTTCTTCTGTATAGGGTTTACTGGCGGTTTACTAGAGTAACTAAAAAGCACAAAGCTTTTTATGCAATTTAGTTTCCCTGACTTTTATTTTGAAGTTCACGACTGGAACCCTGCCGGAAGTGAGTTTGGCTGTTGTAGCTCGCCCCAGGCTGCTGGAAGGAGGAAAGCCTTAGCTGTGATGCCGCTGGATGATGGCTGCTTTCGGGATCTTAAGTTACGAACACCGTCCATTAAAGCGGCCCCGACTCGGCCCTCCGGACGTTTATCCGCAAGATCCAAAGCAAAAAGAGGTCAGATTTGACGACGTGCTCCCTGAACGGCCGGGAGTAACGTTTTGTCGAGGAAAATTGTAGGCAGAGGAGCTGTGCGAGCTAACACTAGCTTGCAGTCCTGTGAACGGTCTGGGCCTAGCAATAACAATGAACAGAACCTAGTTGTCAGTTTGTTAGCTAGCTTGCCCTTCTTAGTTGACAATCAGCTACTTGGTAAGATCGCTGAGTTTGCTAAGCTAACTCTTCGGGTGGCGGATGCGTTGCAGTTTGATATAAACTGCAGCCATTGTCTTACTGTGTGGTTTTAAACAATATGCGCTCGGTGTTGGATTGTGCGTGACTGTTTCTGTTTAATAGCCATATGGTTTGTTTTTACGAATAACCAGACCTTCAAAGCTAATCTTTATTACCAGCAAGCTGTAAATTATTTGCTGAGTTTTTAGACTGGAGTTTGGCCTAGCTGAGGTATCCCTGTTCGTTCATATCCAGCAATAACCTGATGCAATCTGTTGATGCAAATGGAAAAAGTGACTCTTTATGTTTCCCAAATAATAATTAAAAAAATGTTTTTATTGTTATTTATGTTTACGTCATGTCTGCAAAACCAATCAACCACGCATCCTGACTTTCTCAGTGGTCTGGGATCTCAAATTATACCACTAACGTCGCATGAAAAATACCATTTCTCTTCGCTGAAATGTGTTTCAGGATGAGTTGACTGCATTGAATGTGAAGCAAGGATTCAATAACCAACCAGCTGTATCCGGCGATGAACATGGCAGTGCCAAAAATGTCAACTTCAACCCTTCCAAGGTAATGGCTCATTTTAACACAGCTCCTGCCCTAGCATACCATTCACAACTGGATAGATCCCCCCTCCCTGCTGGATTTTGGCCATCTTACATGTTCCCCTCTCTCTTTATAGATCAGCTCAAACTTCAGCAGCATTATTGCAGAGAAGCTGCGCTACAGCACGTTTCCAGACACAGGGAAGCGTAAACCACAGGTCAACCAGAAGGATAATTTCTGGCTTGTCACAGCGAGGTCACAGAGCTCCATCAATAACTGGTTCACGGATTTAGCTGGGACTAAACCTCTGACACAGCTGGCTAAAAAGGTAAGACTTAAAACCCTTGTTTATTATTTATTATTGGGTATTCCTGCAATTGGTTTCCTAGTTGAGCACAAGTCATTAAGCCACCTAGTTAGTGAGTTAATTGTTTTTAAATTTATGATATGAAGTAAGTACACATTAAAGCACAGTTTAAATTCCTGGGCTGTGGAGAAGCAAAATCACAACAACAACTACACTTTAAGTTTTCCCAAAGCATGCAGGAGGAAAGCCTCAAGTTCAGAGAACCTGAAAAGTTATTAATGATTTTTAATGTGCTTCAGTAGCCAGAGAAGCTACTGGGGGGATGGTAGGTCTGACCACAGTGCCATATTCTTCTCCAGAAAACTGACTAAAAGCGACTGAGACGTCAGTAAAAGCATGAATATAAAAAAAACATTGATTCCAAATAGTCAAGAACAACATTTAATGGCAGCTCTAAATAATTTCGATTGGAATAGCATACTATAATATGATGACACTAATAAATGTTGTGATCTATTATACTCTTCTATTAAAGGGGTCTTGTCACAGTTTCAGAACGAGAGCCATTGAAAGAAACGAGTTTATTCCTTGCTTTGGATTAATACTGAGTGTAAACAGCTTATGAGACTCAGAGACCAGTTACTTAAAACATTGTTACAATCTGGATTAAATACTGATTGATTACCTTTTATATCTGCAAGGAATAAAGTCGCACAGACTTTGAGAATGGCAAAAGCAAATTTTTTCATGACTGTAATTAATATTGCTAAAGGAAACTGTAAGCTAATTTGGGAAAATATTAACTAACTCCTTGCTAACAGTAAGCATAATGCTGATAAAGACCTTGAACTTAAATTTGCCAATGAGCTGGTATCAGAGCTTCTCACCCTTTTTCCAAAGTACTATTAATGAAATTGCACAAGTGTTTTCTAATTCTTGTCACCCTCAACAAAATATTGGGAATACTGACACCAAAGAGGATGTTTCTTCTGAAGATTCAAAGTTCAACATTTGAAAAATTACAGAAAATGAAGTAGAAAATATAATCTCTAAATTAAAAAGTTCTAAAGCAAGGGATGAGTGTGGGTTTCATACCAATTTCTTGAAGTATTATAAATCTTGTCTTTTGGTGCCTGTGACCCATCTTATTAATTTATCAATGACGCAGGCAGTCGTTCCTCTGAGTTGGAAGGTGGCAAAAGTTACACCAATTTATAAATTGGGTGATAAATAGACCCTGCTAACTATCGACCTATTAGCATGCTCCCCATCTTTTCAAAGATAGCAGAAAAGTGGGTTGCTAAATCATCGAACATCTTAATGACTCCAATCCGGGTTTGCACCCTATGCAATTCGGGTTTCGCACTCTTCACTCAACTGAAACGGCTGTCTGTGTTTCTGTTGAGAGTGAAGTCTTACTTAGACAAGAGCAGTTATGTTGCGGCTGTTTTTCTTGATTTCCGTGCGTTTGACACTGAATCATCTTAAGCTCTTGTCTAGACTGTCAACATTTAACTTTAGTAATCGCACCGTTAAATGGATACAGTCTTATCTATCAGATAGAAAACAGTGCGTGCAAATAAAGAATAGCAAGTCACCCCATCTTTACTGTGCGCAAGGTGTCCCGCAGGGTTCAATTCTAGGCCCCCTGTTATTTTCACTTTATGTAAATGACTTGCCCAATGTGTGCAAAAATGTGGACACGATTATGTATGCTGATGATACGGTAATTTTTACGCAAGCCAAAACTGCTGCTGATGCAGCCCATCAGCTTTCATTGGCATTACATGATTTACACAAGAACTAATTAATGTTGAGGAATTTAAGTGTTTGGGAGTGCTACTAGACTCAAAATTATCCTTTAAAAAACATGTTAAAAAAGTAGTGAAAACTGTAAATGTTAATATACAGAACTTTAGACATATCCACACATCATTAACAGACACAGCAGCGATTACATTCCTGCTCTCTATGATACCGGCTCATATTGAATATTGTGTTACAAGTTGGTCCTATACGAGCTCTGCTGCTATTGGGCCAATCGAAGTGTGCTACAAAAGAGCATTGAAAATATTACATAAGAAACCTTTTTCATATCACCATTGTCAAATTTGAGATAAATACAAGTTTTTAAATTTTACTAATTTCAAATGATTTAAATCTGCCTGTCTAATATACAAAGTTATACATGGTCTGGCGCCTCCACCAATGAGTGATTTTATTAAACCAAAGTCTAGCAGTGTTGCCGGGTCTCGACTGACTCGAGCCACTGAGAGATGTAGTTGTGAATTGGCATTTAGACGGAGCACCTTTTCACAGATGCTCTGTCATATCAGGGAGTGAGCTTCTGCAATACTCTTCCACTGTCAGTGAGGGAAGTACAAGTCTCCCCATCTTTAAGAGTCACTTAAAAGGGTGGCTCAGGGACACACAAACATGTGATCATGTTTAATTAATCATGCTTTATATTGGACATGAAAAAGAGTTGGTGTATTACAACTATTAGTGTAATAGGTCAGTGCAATATCAGGACATTCAGGGCATGTGTAATACTGGGGTTTTTGCAATATAATTGATGTGTTTCCATTATTGTTATCTATATTGTCCTCTCTTGTCCACTCTTCTTGTCATTGTTTGTTCTAATATAATGTGATCAGTGTTTTTGTCCTTGTCACATGATCTGTAAATAGTGTCTCTGTATGTTTTTACTAACTTGTGTGTAACACCAACCTGCCAGAGGGTCTGCAGATGCAAATTAGCCCAAGGCTATAATCTGTCATATTTACATTTGTTAAAATGTTCATTAATATGTATTGCCCCTCTTTCTAAATAAAATAAATAAATAGATAAATAAAAGAGACTTTAATGTTTAGCCAGCAGGCATGCCAAGTGGATCCATGTTTCAAATTATGGGGCATTTTCTTAAAGGTTGATGAATAACAGGGGAATGTATGCCTGCAGAGATTGCATGTTACCGTTTTAGGATTGTCTTTTGAAATGGTACTTACTGAAATGGTCCCACACTTTGGATTTCCTGCATGTTTAATAGCTATATAACCATAAGGAGCAGCGGTTTGAAGTTTAGTGGCTCTTTTGCCTCTTAAAGTTGAAATGTGATGTTGTGTGCTCTACTAGATAAGCTATTAACAGAGCTGAGTGTTGTAGAATATCATTTATAAGTTGTCATTTTTGTGTTATATATGTGTGTGTATATATATATATATATA